CGATGAATTTGATTCACTTTTGTCTTTTGATGAAACATCACAGATCATACCACGATAGCAAATGTGGACTTGTGAAAGGGCGGGACCCAACACGTGCCGCATTGGCTCTTTATGCTCGGAACCGGAAGAGTTCGCGTTCTGCCGTTCTCAAATCCTTTTTATTTCCAAATTACCCCTAACGTTTTCTCCCATTCCAACTTAGTGGACCCTGCGTCAACAGTCAACATTGTCCGATTTGAAATTTTTTCTCGTCACGACGGTATGAAGATTAAAGAAATCTCAATCCAACGGCTTACATTACGGGTCTACATGCTTTTGCGATATCGTTGTTGGCAAAGGGGCTGTCGGCCGAGTGCTTGCTTAGCCTTTGATGGCAGTTGAGGCTTGTTAGTTGCGGCGGGGAACAGAAACATTGGCGAAGAGTTATTAGTTACGTTTGGTGCATCTTTTTGCGCGGTCCGTCGGTTATTTATAAGTTCCGAGAAGTCTAATGGGTGATTTTTGGGAAACTTTATATAGAGTTTTAGGCTCTGTTTGATTTATGGTAAGATTTGAATGGGATGGGTTGGTTTTATATATGGGAAAATAAAAGGAAAAGCACTGTCACAACCTGGAAGAAGGTGAGGGGGAAGACGGGAAGAATGGGAAGAACAGGAAGAAGAAGAAGGTGAGGGAGAAGAGAGAAGAGGAAAATGGAGGGAGAGACAGAACAAGGAAGGTAGCAGATCTCCTCTTTTGTTCGATGGTAGCAGATCGTTGCTGCCTGGCTCTCTTGCCACTGTCGCCTCCTCTACCACCGCCTCTTCTATTCAATGGTAGCAGATCGCCACTGCATAGTTCTCTTGCCACCGCTGCCTCTTCTGTTCAATGGTAGCAGATCGTCGCTGCCTGGTTCTCTTGCCATCGCCGCCTCCTCTGTTCGAACGGGGAAGGCAATGAATAGTGGTTCCTTGCCAGTATCTGGTGAAGAAAATAGTGGAGAATAGATCGGGTTGCACTGTTCGTCGCCATTCATCGTCATCATTGCTCGTCGTCATTCGTCATCGTTGGAAGGCAATGTGAACAGTGGTTTCTCGAGTTTTTCCACTAGGGTCGCACTGTTTTGGTGCGACCCCGATTCCACGATTTTGAGATCTCGCATCCCACCTTTTTCTCATCCCATCCCTCTATTTCTCTCAAAACAAATAAGAGAAAAATGAATATTTTTTGAATATTCCCTTTTTCTCATCCCATCCCACAAACCAAATGGAGCTTAAGTGTTTTTTTTTCTTTATTCGTCTTTGTACGGAAAAACGCATGGAAAGACACACGTTAATCAAACGGGCTTCAGGCTACTCAGATCTTAATGCAAAAGTTTAATGTGTCTTTTGACTATCATTCTGTCAACGACAAGATTTTTCCAAAAAAACTTGCCAAACAGCCCCTTAAAGAGTTAAGATGGGTTATGAGTTACAATTTACAACTTGATCAAGTTGGTGGAACGCACTACAACAAATACTATAGGATACCATGTGTAGGGCTATAGCCTGTACTTGTAGGAGGTGTTACCTTGTTAGGATCGCTTGTGCAACCATAACTAGGAGTGACCACGGTTTGGTGGGGTATTTTTTCAAACTGAACCGACCTGATCAGTTTTTAAATATCCAAACGGAAACCGAACCAATGCAATCCGTTCATCGGTTAATTGCGGTTCAGTTTTTCGATTTTTTATGGACTTAAAATATAAAAAAACCCTAAAATTGTCGGTGGTTGTTGTTGGTGCCAAACTAGTTGGTGTCGATGGTTGTTGGCGGAGCCGTAGAAAGGAGAGGTGTGTGTGTATGTGTGTGTGTGTGTGTGTGAGAGAGAGAGAGAGAGAGAGAGAGAAGGATCTCATATGCTTCAAAACCACCGCCCACTAGCAACTAACAAATGCTTTAGATGCTTCAAAACCACCACCCACTAGTGAGGCGGCGACTGGCGTTGCCGCTTGGTGCTGGTGGTTGGCGCGGGCCACGCGACAGTCTGAGAAGAGAACAAAGAAACTAGAGAGATTGAGAAGATAAGGGAGAGACTAGAGAGACTGAGAAGAGAAGGGAGAGACTAGAGAGACAAAAGAAAAGATAGAGAGTGAGAGAAGATGAGAAGAGAAAAAGGCTTGAGTGCCTGAGTGGTTTCGAGTTTCGAAGAGAGTCTGGTGGCAGACTTGCAAAGTTTCGAAGAGAGTGACAGGCAGTTACAGTTTGGCAGACTGTTGAAAGTTTCAATTGGTTCAAAGAGAGGCGGAAATTGAAAGCCTCTTCTCAGTCTGCCGAACCTATTTGAAAAATAAAAATATTATATTATATAAATATATATTATTATATATATCGATCGGTTCGGTTAACCGTCGGTTTTTTTAAATGATTAACCGAAACCAAATCGACCAATTTGGTTAACCGATTTTTTGGTTCAATTTCGGTTGGTTCGGTTTTTCTGCTCACTCCTACGACTTAATCAAGGAGGAGAGAAGAAAAGCCGATGGAACACATTACGACTGATACTATGGGATACCATGTGTAGGGCTATAGCTTGTACTTGTTGGGGGTGTTACCTTGTTAGGATCACTTTTGCAACCATAACCCCATGAGACCAGATCTGCTCCTCACATGTTATGGCACCTCACAGGTATATGCCATGAGGCATTAGAAACATTTCCATGTTATTATTTACGGGAGATGTTCTCAATACATGGTGGGATGTGCTTGTGAGGTCATTATGAAGTGCCCTCTATAAGGAGCAGATCCCAATTCCGACCCATGTGTCCATGTGGCGAAGACGTCTCATTGTCAGTGGCTTGGAGTTTCATACCATAATTATATGACGTTATTACCCTTTACCTCTGCTAGGTATTCTTGTTTATCCCTACCTATCAACCAAGGAGATGATCGGGACCGGCGATAATTACCTGATTTCTCCCATAATTGTTTGGTATAGCTGCTGTTTTGTCATTCGATTTTTAAAACATCAGTTATGAGTTTATGTAGTGGTGATTATTAGCAGTGATTTTTGTGATTATGAGAGTTGTCTTTCCTATCCTATATAATATGCTATTTCATTTAATAAATGATCATAATATACCTAAAAAGCTATTTTAAGTTTGATTTTAATAATTATTTTTTATCAATTTGTTGATTTCTTAAAAATCGGCCAATTAAACACCAAAATAGTCAATGATTTTTTAATCAATGTGGCATCAATCTCTAAGAAATCGGCATTGATTGTAAGGGCCAACATATACTAGTAGCCTTGTAAATATTTGACAATTAAGGGGTTTGTATTTTCCTTTACACCCTTCAACATTGATCTACTTGTACTAGTACTTTGCATTAGTAGAGATGGCAATGGTGTCACAAGTGACCAATTTGCCGCACCATCAAGTGCTTTCACTGTGCCCACAGACTGCCATTCGAGTGTCCAAGTGTGTGTCTTGGGTGGGGTATTGCATGATTTTGTATCAGGGGATTGCCAATGGCGTTACTGTAATTCTATAGTATGATTTTTCACATTTTTTATGTTTTTTATTGTCATTCCCCCAAAAGCTTAACGTACTCTTTGAGGGGAGGTAGGTAGTCAAGTGAATCAAGAGCATGTAAAAGTTAAGCATGAGATCTCATCGACACTGAACTGTGTGATTATGCTTGCCATCCATTAATGCAATACAATTTGTCTTTTGTCTAATTTGTGTGCCATTTTTGTTGCCTTTTCTTGTGTTGTTGCTTGTCGCTTAGACTTACTTGTCGCATTCGAGTGCCACACGGGGCCCCAACGACTAGCCCCGTGACAATGGGGCAGGTTGAGAGGGTTCTAAATCCTATCTACTTTTCTAAACCTCTCAATCTTTACTTGTCCCAAAACTCATAGCAGGTTGGATTTTGAGACAATCCCTCCACGCACATAAAAATGCAAAACCCTTCTCACATTCAAGGGTAGGGCAGGTTGAGTTTAAAACCTACGTCTAATTTTCTATTACTTCTTATATATAAGCACTAAATAAGTAAAATAACATAATTAACAAATAAAAAATTCCAATTATTTGATTAAAATATATAAAATTCAAAATATTATTAAATTCAACAATTAATACATAAAATTCATATGATTTCCAAGAATATAAGAATTGAAAGAAGGCCGGATTTAGCCTAATACCATACCCTATTTGTATCAATTCGGATTATAAAATCCCAAAACCCGCCCCCTCCAAAATCCATCCTTAAATAACCCATTCCCACCCCAAAATCCTTTCACCCCATAATCCACCCTTCAAAACACCCCCACCTCGCACGGTCCAACTATCTGCTTCAAACAATGGCCCATTATGAATTAAAAAATAATAATAAAATTCAAGACCAAAATCATTTTTCGGGTTAATGGATCGACAATTTGACTACCCAGATTAATGGGTTGTTAATCAAATCAACGCTTTTGGCCGAAAAAGGGTGAAATGAAACTGGTTGCCTGATCAGTTACTGTGTTAATCGGTCCTACCGTCTGGTTCGGTCCGATTTTCAAAACCATGCATTTACCTCTGACAATGATCCAAAATTAGGGAAAAGTACGAATACACACGATGCAGAATTCTGAATTCCAGCCACCCCCTACACTAACCCTCTTCCCCCCTATAAACCACATCCTGCCCGTGAATTTGACATCAATTCACGGTCAGGATGCATTCCCCCTGTACTTCGTGGCTAGTAAACTCTGAGCTGGGCTGATCGGTACTTCTCCCCCAAAATTACTGGTTACCACAGAACTGACTTTACATAATTTTTGTACCGAATTTATTGAAGGTCAACTGATGGGCATTTCGGTAAAAACAACTCTTATTCCATAGTGATTTCCTAAAAACTCAACGTTTCCGTGAGTTTTCTCTTGTCCATTCATGAAATTGGGGGTCATTTTCGTAATATTATTGCAGAGAGAAGGGTCATTAGTGTGCCCACTCCCACCACTTAAAAACTTGCCTGTCTGGTGTAGCATGCACTCACAAGTCACAACCGCGAGAGCTCTGCAACAAAGCAGAGAACAACTAATCCGAAAGATAGAGAGATAGGGAGAGACAGAGCTGGCAAACCTCTCAAGCTCAAACCCTCAAAAATTTCTTCTGGAGCCCAAAATCGGTTTCTCTGTCTTAACAAAACTTTTTATACGCACAAACTAAAGCTCTCATTGTTTCGGATTCACGTTTCGTTCCTATGCATGCGAACAACGGAAGAAAGCTACCGAGAGAGAGAGAGAGAGAGAGAGAGAGAGAGAGAAAGAGAGAGAGAGAGAGAGAGAGAGTTCACAGAAAATTTTCCGCTGAAAAGTGAAATATTGACGAGATTTTCAGCCTGATCGCTTGATCGCTCGCTTTCTCTGTGTAAGCTTCATGGACTCTGATTGCTCTGGGCATTTTCGGTTTAATTTTTGTTTCTGGGAGGAATATTCATAAATGGGATGGTGGATCTCTTAGGGACATGAATCTTTCTGATGTGAGCGGTTCATTTTGGCGGAATGTGGTACATGAGCCGGTTTAAGCCAAATGCTTTGGAAATTCGGTAAATTATATCGGTTTTCATTTGATTTTCTTTTCCTTTCCTTTCTTTCTTCTTGCCGAAGAGATTATGATGATGACGCTTCCATTTATAATTACTTTTTTTCTTTATGTAAATTAAAGCAATGGAAGAAGCATAGTTTCTAAGACTTCGTCGCTCTGCTGCTAAAATTGGTGCAACGAATGCTGGAGGGTTTTCTGTTTCGCTCGTTGAAGATCTATGAGTTTGATTCCGCTGGAACCTGGACATTGGGTTGAAAGGCTATTTGATCTTTGTAATCACCGTTCTTGAGCTTGTAGTATAATAGTTCTCCTCCGAATTCAACTTCATCTGTTTAGCCATATAGTCTGAAAGTTTCTAGATTGAAGATAACTGACCATTAGAATTTAAATGGTGTTTGGAGAGCTAAAAGGTAGCGGAAAAGTTAACGAGTTCCATCCTCTTATTTTAAAATATTGGAGCAAATACAGGGCGGTCTTTTTCCAGAATTAAGTAAGCTGTAATTTTGGGAGGAATATATTAGATTTCTCTGAGTTTGTTGACTGGAATGCGAACTCAAACCAATTCTGCGTTAGGATTTAGTAAAGAATTTTGGCGCTTAAAGTTTCTTGAAGAAAGGGCACCGGAAAGTACTTCCCTGTAATGTTGTGAATATAGGTTTGGCTAAGATCTGCATGATTTAGATTTATAGAGAGGTGAAGATGGCTAGTGCTTGGGATCATATCGGCGAGATTGGCAATGTTGCGCAGCTTGCTGGCATGGATGCCGTGCGGCTTATTGGGATGATTGTGCATGCTGCAAGCACGGCACGTATGCATAAGAAGAACTGCAAACAGTTTGCTTTGCATTTGAAGCTCATTGGGAACTTGCTGGAGCAGCTCAAAATATCAGAGCTAAAGAAGTATCCAGAGACACGAGAGCCACTGGAGCAGCTTGAGGACGCGTTGAGAAGGTCTTACATTCTGGTGAATAGTTGTCAGGATAAGAGCTATCTCTATCTGCTGGCCATGGGGTGGAACATCGTATACCAGTTCAGGAAGGCCCAGCAAGAGATTGACCGGTACTTGAAGATCGTTCCCCTTATCACCCTTGTGGATAATGCAAGGGTCAAGGTATTCTGTGTATATATTAGTATTTTTTCTTTGGTAGCTCTGGTTCCATTTCTTTTAAGGCACAATGTTCTATTTTTGCCTTTGTGTGATGACACTGTTCCTTTCTTGGTTGATTCTTTTATTTAATGCTTGATCTGATTTTCAGAAATTGAAGTGCTACATGCTTTGAACTGTCCCCTGTTACCTGCTTCATTACTCGGGGACCCAATGTTAGTTATTTTTACATATATCAACATTCATATATAATTATGATTTGGAGGGCTCTTATGACAGTGTGATCTCTATTGGGCACAATTTTGAACATTTGGTGTAATTCATTTTTACATACCATATTGTTGCCTGTGTTGCTGTGCATTTGATCCCAGGTGCAACCATGCATGTTAGAATAGTTAACAATCTAAGCAGATAAAAATGGTTCATCAAATTAATATCATCCATAATGGAAAAAAGGATCATCCATAATGGAAACCCTAACTTGATTGTATTTGACTAAAAAGTATATGATGATTATTTTGATACCAGATGCTTCTTATGTCTGTGCATCAGTACATCTGGTTGTACCATCACTTGTGTTGGGATTGGCTGCAAGGTCAAGTATTTATCAGGTTGGTGTGCGGTGAGAGTTTGAGTGAGGTCTGCTCGTGAAAAACACTGGTCTGTCAGCCTGTCTAACCAAAATTCAGAAAATCAATTGCTGATTACTAAAGCACCCTCTCTACTCTGTAATTGCAAAAGTACCAGAATATGCTGAAAAAACCTACTTATGTCAGTATTCAGTAGGAGTTCTTCAATTGGACTTGGAGGGTCAGTGTTTTCCCTGTCCCATTGACAGCTGATTTGCTCTCTACATTAAGCATACTGTGATGTAAATGGTCCACGTTTTACTCTTCAAGGCAAAGAGTTTCCTTTTTCATGTGTAATTACTTCTTAGATTTTTCCTCTTTATTGACAGGTACTTGGCACTATATCCCCACAGAACTTTGGAGTTTGGAAAACCTCCTTTTCTCGTTAATATACTGGCACAAACAAGGATTTCCTATCTACTTTGTTTATAGTCATCTTGGTGGTGGCAACTAAGATACTCTATTTGTATCTTTTCTTAGTTTTCATTGTTTATTTTCTATTTTTAACAAATTGGCAGGAAAGATTAGAAGATATTGAAAGAGATCAACGTGAATATACTTTGGATGAGGAGGACAAGAAGTTGCATGATGTTATCCTGAAACGTGATCCCACAAAGAAAGACACAATGGTGTTGAAGAAGAGTCTTTCTTGTTCTTATCCAAACTTGCCTTTTGATGAAGCACTCCAAAAAGAGAATGAGAAACTAAAAGTAGAGTTACAGCGATCACAAGCAAGCATGGACGTGGGTCAATGCGAAGTGATTCAACATTTGCTTGAAGTGACAGAAGTTGCAGCAAAGAATGATTCACCAAGCAAAAGTTATTCAGATGCTAGTAATGATAAAGCACATTCTTTTGATGACAGACATAATGAGGAAAGCGACACTCGAGTGACCTCAAGGTTTGTTTTGTTTAAGTTTATTTACAATACCCACCTAGGGCAGGAGACACATAGGCAATAAAACTAGACAAGCTCTTGTCTATGCATGAACTAGACCTTGGAAAATGTTTATCTTGACCTCTCAATCAAACAATGTTGTCATAACTGGTGTTCTGAAATACACAGTGGATTTCAATATAAGCCTAAAGCAGTAAATTTTATATATAACATTCATTAGCATGGTTACTTATGAAGGCTTTGACCAAATCAAACTGAAGTCCAGATCTGCTACCCACAATTCTGCCTACAATCCTACCCACTACAGCTGCACATCAGGAACATCTCAGTTGTCATTCATGGGGTGGTGTTCCTGATGCATGGTTGTAGTGTCTTGTGAGTACGTGTAGGTAGCATCTTTATGGGCAGCAGATCTGACCTTGTAAACTGCTCATTCCCCAATTTTGTTACTGGTCAATGATTGAACAGTCTCAACACGCAGGCTGGGCTGGATCTAGAAAGTTGCTGTCTGCTCATGAGTGAGTCTGGATATGAGAAGTGAAGGCAGCATTTCAATTGAACTAATTAGACTAAAGAGGATTTCTAATGCATCAAGCTTTATAAAATGAGCTTATTTGCAGTTTCAGTTGTACCTAATTATATGCTCAACTATGTGCTCTGGTAATTTGGCATGCCTAATGGTCCACTAGGAAAAGATGTACTTCACAATTCTATATTTCTATACGTAGAAGGCCATTACCCATTGTTGGTATCAGCTGTCTGGGATCTTCATAGGGGAAGACTGGATGCTGACTTARCCTTTGACTCATTTTTCTTTGCGTAAAGTGGTTGTCCTCAGGCTAGAACCTGTGTTCTCACACTTGTGAGCCTGAGATTTTTCCATAACATTAAATAATAGCCCCTACAAGTCTATATTTCTATATAYGAGATAGCTAATCTCAGGTGTGCACTATGCTTTATTTTCCTGGCATAGATGACCAGTGGTTGGGCTTATTTTGTTCCTTAATAAAGTTTGATTTTTCAAATCTGAGGTAAGAAGGTATGTACATGGYGATAGGGCTTATTTTGTTCTTGTACATCATATGGTGGATGGTATGTTGTTTRTTTTTTATTTAATTCTCATGAGCAATAAATCTTTTTTATCACTTTCTGGTGGAATTTCATTATCTGTTTTACTGTGCATATATGATTCTGGTGGCATCAAAACACCTTTCATTGAATGAGAAATATACTGTGGAATACACAGTTAAATTATGTAGAACATATATTGCTATTTAGCATGGTAAGAGCTCCAAAATCCAGGCTCTTGGTCAAGCATCTAGATGGGTGGACAGAAAACCAGCCRGGTCCAGTGCAGGGCTGAGATAGGTTTTCTGGCAGCTATAATAGTAATTTCTTTGTTCTACTTGCAGGACTTCTTGTTCCAYTCTTTTATTTGTCCATTGTGAGCATTTTCTCAATTATGATTTTCAAGCTACATGAAGTTCTTTTTTGTATATAGTGAGAAGATCATGGACATCATAATAATTTTGTGCAGAACCACTTCTTCAGTATCATCGGGGCATGACCTGTTATCAACTAGAGGATCACACCGGCTAGAAGAATGGCATTCAGATTTACTTGGCTGTTGTTCRGAACCTTCTCTGTGTATGCATTCCCTAGTTTTGTTGCATTACACAGGAAYTATTCACTAATGTGAAGTAGGTCTTATGGATAGTAGGAAATTTCCCATAGTGTGCATATCTGTTTTCTATATCTATTTTTCATTATGACATTATCTCCCATCATCTGCATAGCAATACAATGAATTTTATATTCCAGACTTGTATATTTTGGAATGAATTTTACTCAAACTTTACATATTTCTTGGCATATTTTTAAACGTTATTTGGCTCCATAATTGAACAATGGATATGGCACTGAACAGAATAGAATGGCAAAACAAGATTCATGTAGCCAACCCCATATAGTTGTGACAAGACTTAGATGATCTGGAAGGATAGAATGGGAAACTTTTTCTTGTTTCATGTTGGATAAGATATATTCCATTTGTTTGTTTCTTGCAGGCATGAAGACTTTTTTCTACCCWTGTGGCACATTTTCAAAGATTGCTTCAGTGGCCACTAACAGGCATATGTGTAAGTATATCAAATTAATATTCTGGTTAGTTTGTCTCTTTATTTTCCATTTGTCTGCATTCATGCAAGTGAATTGTGTAATATAATAATGTAGGTGTTGCTTTTGTTATCATTTCCTTTTCTTTAGATAAAAGCTAGAAAATTGCCAAGTTTATTCTATTTAATTTATTGGTTGTGATTTCAAGAATCTATTTACATCATGATTTTTTTTTAATGAATATTTACATCATAAAATGTTGAAAAGGAATCAAGCAGTTTGAGATGCAATACTGCCCAATCACTTGAGAAGGATGTAAACAAAAAAGTACATGGAAGTATAATAATAAGAAACACTACCATGTTCTTAAAAACGTTAAAGAAATTTGTTATTAGTTGATGGGTATTTTATTAGGCCTTGATTGCAATGCAACATTCATATGTGAAAGCAAGTAGAAGCTGAACAATGCTTGGAGATCATCTCTACGCAGTCTGATTCAACCATGTGGCTTCCTCAAAATATTTCTAGTCCTTAGATGGTTGYACTTCAAGAATTTACATCAAGAAATGCTGATGTACTCTAGGGATGGAAACATTTGTGTCCATGTTGTCACATGTTCATGTCAGCAGTCAACAGCTTTGAGATATGACACTACCCTTTCACTTGTGAGGAGTATAAATATATAATACATGGAAAGTTTATAATAGGTACATCCAAACCGATGCTTGGAGATCACAATTCTTTCCCTGGGAAAATATTGAGGAGTTCAATGTTCTGACAAAATTAAAGGACTTCCCTATCATCAGTTAATGAACATTTTGTTAGGCCCTGCTGTCAATATCAAATTCATTTTCAAAGAAACCAAGTAATGACTGGATTTCAACTTGAAAACCTAGGTGCCCTGTTCAACCATACTATCCAGTGGCAGCAATAAATATTTGAGGCTCTTACATATATCTATACTATATAATGTGGCTATTTTAATAGCATCATATCACAAGGTTGATACTTACAAACGATAGAATAGTAAAAAATTAAAATCTAAATGTCTTTTATCTTTTTAGTTTTTACCCTTTCATCAGGATTGGGGCCTGGAAGATGATTTGCCATTGAGGATGTGATGCCATTTCTTATGACTTGAAAGCTGCATGGACAGTATAGTCTGTTATCTGAAATTTGGCTATGATCAAACCTTTACTTCACTTAAATGTCAGACACAGGTCTACTGGACAAAAATGAGTCCCATTTACTGTGTTCTTTTCTTTTCTGCTACTACTTGTAGATCATTTATATATTATTTTGAAACTAAAATGCACTAAACTATTTTGAACAATATCTTATTGTTTATGAAATAAGCTGAATTTGTGTTGCTTTTGGATTGTTTAATAATTATTTTTCATTATTTGTGTAGGAATATGCTAATGAACATTCCTGAATTTATTCAAATTTATAAACCATAGCAATTGGCCCATAAAATATTCTTTTTGTATGTCTTGACATTCATGTTGTAGATCCTCTCTTCTAAGACATGCTTTTTCCCATTCCTGTGTATCATGTCATACTAATTGAGAATAAGTTATACTAAGATAAGTATCTTGTGTATTGATCATTAGCTCCGGCTGAAGCCTGTAATGAGCTGATGGCATATTCTTTGATATTGTCCTGCTGTTGCTATACGTGCTGTGTCAGAAGAAAGCTTCGCAGGATGCTAAACATAACAGTAAGTTCATTGTCTTGCCTCTTTTCATTTGTCACAAATATAGCTGAACCAGAGGGCGAAAAATAATGGGCAGATGCTCAATGAAAAACTCGTGTATTTTTGATGGTTACAAGTCAGGCTCAAAATTATGTTTGAAACCTTGGGGTGGTGGGGTGGAGGGTTTAGTTCTTTAAAAATGGGAAACAACAGTCAGAAAATTTGCAAGAAATCATATATGATATATGGTAAATTGGTAATAAGTATGGTATATGATATATTTGGATTTAACTTTTATGATCTGCATGTAACACAAGGCAAGTATCTGCTTTAATATAATTATATTATAGATAAAGAGAGGGTATATTCTTTTTTTTTTTTTACTTTTTAACCAGTGTCCCTCAGATTAACAGTTAATACAATTACTATTTAACAAAAATAACAATAGCATAAATTATAAAACTAATTTGAGTGTTTGATTCACTGTGTACTTAGGCTCAGTTTTGAAAGAGTGATAGAAATGTATAGTACAAAGCCTTGTATTTTGTATTTCTAAACCTGTATTTGCACTTTACTTATTTGTATTTATACTACTTCCTAACTGAGCCTAAAGAGCAGAAGTGTGGAGAAGAATTAATAACCATACTTTCTTAGATCATATATAGTTTCACGAAATGTTGCTTGGTAACTCAACCTATATGTTTGGCAGGGAGGTTCATGCGATGACTTCCTCTCACATCTGATGTGTTGCTGCTGTGCCTTGGTCCAAGAATGGCGAGAAGTGGAGATACGTGGGGTTTATGGTATGTTCTACTACTCATGGAGCTTTGCTTAGCTTCTGTGTGATAGGTATTGCAGATAATAATAGCTTCAATAAAAGTCGGTCATCAGGTATTGATGATAATTATATCTTAAATCAATTTGCAGGTCCTGAGAAGACAAAGATGAGCCCACCGCCATCTCAGTACATGGAACCCTAAGGGGTATTTAGATGATAAAAAAAGAACTGTTATTTAATGGTAGAACTCTTATGCTTACCATAAAGGAAACTGCTAGTTGCCGCTGTTAACTTGAATGTTGGAACTTGTACTTGGGATATCTTGCGTCATTAATTTTAGCTGTGTAAAGTTGGCTTTGTATATCTTCTAGATATATAGAACTTGGTGTAAATACTTGAAGATATATATACTTGGAACTTGTACTTGGGATATCTCGCGTCATTAATTTTAGCTGTTCGTAGTTGTTTTATCTCTTTAGTTTGCTCCTGTTTGTTTTCTTTGCTGTAGTCTTGTTTTCTTGCTTCTCCTTTCTGTCTGTTTTGTTTCTTGTAGTTGATGTCTGTTTTTCTCCTTTAATGAATCATTTATCTACCACAAAAAATGTTTAATCCAGTCCAGGGAGGAGGCGTACGAGAAATTTATGGATATTTTCGACACCATTTACATTATATCACCAATTCACTGCTATACAGGAAGCTGGCGGTCCGCTGTGATCTAAAGAGTCTAAATGGCTTTGAGTGCTCATCTGCAATTTTGGTTTTGTTTGCACAATCCTCATTCCACAACTTATCATCATCATTCTCATGTTTGTAATATGTATTCGTCATCAAATTAGATCAGGTGGTTTGTAAACATTTCATCCGACTATTTGGGTGGGCTTGTGGGTCGTCATTTAACTCGTGTTAGTAAACTGAAAATTCGTTTTGTTTGATGATATTATCTTTGGGCGATTGATGGTTTGATACATTACCCGGTCTTTTGTCCGGGCGATAGTTCACTGGTTTGATCATCCGGGTGATTGTTAAGGTGTGGTTTGCCTTTAGATCGGAATATCAATCTTTGGTTCTCGGCCCTTATATAGGAATATTAGGTTAAGTTGTGTCTTATAAATTAGAAAAGAGGAAGAGGGACCCAAGCACATATATATCATACGACAATATCCCATACAACCGATGTGGGATATCTCACATTAGCATCCCATACTACCAATGTAGGACGAAGGGATCATAACAGGACAAGATCATGATTTGAAATTTGATCCTATTTTGTCGGATTTGGATATATTTGTCAGATTTTTGGATCAGATCATATAATAGGATCCGACCGACTGAAAATTGGATTAAATTCGAATAAGCCCCTTATCAACCTTTATATATATATATGTGTGTGTGTGTGTGTTTATTTATTTATTTATAAATATGCTTATATTGCATTTTTGTAATTACAACGGATAAGTCAAGTTGGTACTTTTCTATTCTATGGTTAATTCTCAAAGCCACTTATCTCTTTTCTGGTTTCTTCTCAAATCCACCTATCTTTTTTTTTGTTTTTTTTTTTTTGAATTTTTTAATTTTAAAATTGAACAATATAACTCTAGTGACCAATCACCTTTAACACTCCTCATCAAAACACCATGAACTCTCTCTCTCTCTCTCTCTCTCTTTCTTCCATTAACTCTTTTAATAATCTCTCCTCATTAATTATGCCATTAACTTTCTCCATCAGTAAGTCATGCCACTAATTCTTTCATCTCCATTACTCCATTAAATTGGATAAAATCCACCAACTATATATATATATAGATTAATTATATTGAAATTGAGATATTCAAGGATATATTATTGTGCTAATTAAATAATCTACTTCCATTTAAAATTATATTCCATTTGAAAATAGTAAAAATTAATTAACCATAACAAAAATACTTTAGTAAGTTACTTAAATAAAATAAAAATAATTATTAATTATTGTTATTGATAAAAATATTTTTATTAATCTAATAAAAAGAACTTAATTAATATAAAACTAATATCAATTTAAAATTAATATAAAACTAATACAAAATTATCTAACAATTATTATTTTATAATTAAATTTTATTAATTTAAAACCAACTTAAGTTCCACTAAAAAATAAAAATTTATATAGTTAATTAAATTTCTTAAGGAATTTAAATTTAATAAAAACTTAAAATACTTAAATAAAATCAATTTTTACTAATTTAAAAACTAATAAAAATATTAGTTTTAAACATAGTTTAATTATTTTAAAATCAATTTAAATTTCATTTAAAAATAAGGAAAATTATAAAAACCTCTTTGGGTTTTCTTGCAATTCTATGAAACTCCCCGATGTTTTGACCTTAACAAAAATGTTTTGACCTTTTGGTACTGGTCATGGATTGAACAGTCTCAACACGCAGGCTGGGCTGGATCTAGAAAATTGCTGTCTGCTCATGAGTGAGTCTGGATATGAGAAGTGAAGGCAGCATTTCAATTGAACTAATTAGACTAAAGAGGATTTCTAATGCATCAAGC